AGCGGATTCGCCTTGAGCCGCGCCTCGATGTACGCGATCTTGTCCGATATCTGCGTCGAGAGGTCAAAGGTCCCGTTCCGGTGCAGCCACGGCATCGAGTGGCCCGTGTGCGAGAGGCCGACGACCTCGAACGAGCCGGCTCCAAGGGCATGCGAGGTGACGCATCATGGGCTCGTAGAAGCCAGGCACACCGGGGTTTCCGGGCACGGATAAGCACGAGCGTGTTTGTCGGCGCTGCCGCGGGCACGACGATCGTGTGCATGAGCCGGTCGTTGGCCAGCGAGACGATGCGGTCGCCCGCCACGGGCGTGAGCGGCCGTGCCTGGTAGAGCCATTTGCGCAGGAGAAGCGCCATCGAGGTGAGGGCAACGACGAGCCCGACTGCGACCGAAGGACCGACGTCGTTCGATGCCAATGCTTCCGAGCCAAACATCTTCGTAATCGCCAATGCCACGCTCGCAGCTGGTCATGCCCCGGTGCACAGTGAGAAAATCACGAGAGGCGAAGTGTGAAAACCGACCATGATTTGAGCACTACAGACCTCGAACACGTATTGGAAATCACATTCCATCGTCTGCGCTTTTGGTGCGCTCTGTCCCGCGCCGCTTGGCGTTGACAGTAGTGGATTGGTACCTGCACCGTTTTGGCGGCACCGTACCCCGGTGTACACTTTGAATTTGAGTGGCGATCTTCGATGGACGACCTCACACTGCGCCAGGGCGTTGAGAGATGAGAGCTCCATTGGCAAGTAAATTTATGCTATATCGGTAGTGTATGGAGCTGCGTAGAGTCGTGCGGCTTCAATTCAAGGTTATACCGTAGCACTACCGGTATACGTCACCGAGCCAACGGACTGGAGACGACTTGAAAGACTCAAATTAGCGACGAGAAACCCATTGCCTCCTCTAGAGCACGCGAAACACAGCCCATTGCACCCTCCAGTTGTTGGCGTGTTATTAGGGAGATCGCAAATGCAACTGGACGATATGTACTGTAGTGCGTTGTTGGTCGTACTTTACAAGTAGTCCATGGGATCCCGTCAGCTCTTGTCTGCGCCATACGTCCAGCAAACTGCAGCAGACTTCCATCCCAACTGCAGCAAACTTGCGACGTTCGTGGCATCAGTGCTCTACCCTTTCGTCGTGCACGACTGGCGCGTCTCTCCAAGATCGCCATTCGTCCGAATCGTTTTTATAACTCTCGCTGCGTTGTTTTCAGGGAATACCTCGCGGCGCCTGGAATTTTTGCCGCAAAAACACCAAGTATGGGCATGGCGCAGGTGGACGACGCCGAGCTGCGTCCGGGCCTCGCTCTCTACCGCCCACTCCCGACGCTGCTGCGCCTCGATGTCCTCCCATTCGGAATGCTCTACGCCACCTTTAGCGCGTGTGCGGCTGTGGCGCAGCGCGGCCATGGCTTTGCCGTCGGCCTCGCGCTCGTGGCCTGCACGCATGCGCTCACGTTCTTTGCGAGCGAATGGAGCCTTCGCGTCAAGTGCTTCGTGGCGTACTCGCGCATCTCCATTGCTGGTCTCTCGACGTACGACGACGTGGTCGTCAAGGTCGAGCCGACGTTGCCGTCGCTGCCCGCGGAGCTTTGTCCGATTCGACGAGAGGCGCCGTCGCCCAAGCTGCAAGTGCAAAAGGTTCGTTTCCGCACTCTCGCAGTGCGTAATGGCGTTTGCAGGCGACAATACCGGTCCCCACGCTCTGGTTTTCCTACCAAAAGCTGCGCTTCTGCCTCGACACCTCCTTGACCGCGCCAGTGTGCTTCCGTCGGCTCACGTACCCCATCAACAAGGACCTGGCTGCGTACGCTGGCGCCAACGGCTACACGTCGCGCGTTGCGCTCGAGGCTGCCGGCTTGCGCTGGCAGAAGAACGAGTTTGAGATCCCGATGCCGGCCTTCTGGACGCTCCTCAAGCAGCACCTCGTCGCGCCCTTCTTCGTCTTTCAGGTGCACCCCTAGTGCTCTTAGCATCAGTGTGTGAATATGCGCGCTAGTTCTTCTGCATGCTGCTCTGGTGCATGGACGAGTACATGTACTACTCGCTGCTGACCATGGCGATGCTCGTGCTCTTCGAGTGCACGGTCGTCAAGCAGCGGCAGCACAACCTCGAGCTGCTCGCGCTCATGCAGCGGCCGCCGACGCGCGTCTACGCGTATCGAATGGTAAGTTGGTTATAACAACACGCAATGGTGCCCAGAAGCGTCCTAGACCAAGTGGCAACGCCTCTCGTCGACGGACCTCGTCCCCGGCGACCTCGTGTCGATCGGCCGCCCGACCGCGTTTGACGAGACGGGCGACGTCGAGAGCGGCCTTGTCGCGCCGTGCGACCTCCTCCTTCTCCGCGGCGCGTGCGTGGTG